ATTTGTCTTGGATTGAACTTAGAAATCTAAGTCATAAAATAGAAAAACCAAGTGTTGTGAACAGAGTCAGATGTCAAAGTTTCGTGCTAAAGTCGTCAAAATATTCTGTATCTTGCATATGAGTAATCTGAGTCATGACAACTAATATCTTCTGTCAAACTGTTCTGAACTTCATCGGAGACAGATTGTTTGAAACCATAATGAAGTTTTGCACATTTTCACAAAACTCTTTGGTTTATATTACTTTCTTTCACAACTGCAACTTTGTCTGTTATAGAGACTCTTACAAGGCTATCTGAGTTAAAACTTTTGTTGTATTATACTTTGAAGTTGCATTGCAAACTATAAGTTTCATTTCTCTATTGGTGAGTATAATATTACCGCAGATGTTTTAAGTTTGTCATATTCGATTCGAATAACTTCTAAAGTCTTGGCATAAGATATCTGTAAAGAATGTGTCTATACATGTTCCTTGTTTCCAATTAGTAATGAGACAGTTTCATTTTTTACACTGTGTTTGTAAGTATCTTCAAAACCAACATAAGATTACTCATAAACCTTTTCGTTCCATTCATTGAATTTCTTTGACACATGGTCTATACCAAGCTTCTATAATATTTTCTGTCTCGCATTCTACTTGTTCGTCATTTATATCCAGTGAAGATAGATAGAAGTTTGGAGAAGGTTATAAAATTTATTAACCTCGAACTGAAAAATCTTCTAACTTTGACATAGTATCCACAAGCATTTAACATCTTCATTCCAACTTGTACAAACTTTTATTTTCTAAGTTTCTGTCTACAATTCTTGTTCTGAAAACTATTGTTGTCTCTGGTTTGTTAAAGACGAACATCCCATTCTTTCATACATAACATTCTGGGCAGACGTCGACATAAATTGACTAAACGTTTTCAAATCTCGATCTTTCTTATTATAGCTCTAAATGACACATATTTTGAATGATTGGAATGTTCATATAAAATTGAATACATCTATTCTGTACATTTTTATTAAAAATAAAAAATATTTTTTTTTAATTCTTGATTTGTTGTTGACATTTGTATGTCATTTGTTGTTCTTGAGCTATTTGTTGTTGAAGGTGTTCTTGTAATATCAATACTTCAACGCAAGTTGCATACTTCCCAATTCGAAACTTTCTGCGTCATTGCAAATACATAGGACTATAAAAAGTTTGTTACAGGAAACAAAGTTTTCGTCACGTAATGTTCAACGTTTTAATATCTTGCCAAAGTGTTGATTCTACTAAGGTTGAAATATCTCTGTCATTGAATGAACAATAGGCAAGCAGCAGAGAAATGTTGTGTTATACGCATGAAGATCTTTTGGTCATTAGTAGTTTCTGTTTCGACATTCGATAGCACTTTGAACCTAAGTTTGAAACTAATAATATAAATTAGGTTAGCTTAAAGTCAATGGAACAGACAATTCCTTGTATGACACCTTTTCCTGTTTAGGAAATTGTTTGGAGTAAAAAAACCAGATATAAGTTTATGTATTATAGCTCAATATGTTTATTAGTAACTCAGTCGGACATCCAAACATAATGAAACCTGCTCTAGGTTTGCGCAATGTTACACTCGTCACTTAAGTATTAAAAGTCAACAAAAGACCTGGTGGTGGATAACTGAGTAAGTAATCTTCAAAGGAGTCATTTTTACCATTCACAATCAATAAAATCTTCTGGGTCAAAGAGCCAAAACAGGCTTTAGTCGTTCAATTGTGTTTAAGGTTTAGTTAACAATATCGTCCTGAGGACTTTTGTTAAGTTTGTTTGTATAGAATATATGACATCAAGGGTTTATTGTCATAATAGTTATTATAACATTTATGTTTCTGCCATTTACTTAGCAAATAAATTTTAATGAAATGTTGTGTTGTCGGTCAAAGTATTTTTAGTGACGTCTGGAAAAAGTATACATTTAATTCAACGTTTCACCTCTTTTCATAAGGTAATCTTGTCAAATGACATTATATAAACACCACAGCAACTACGTCGGGTTCTATTTTAATTGAGTTTATATCGTCTTGCCTCTGTCAAAGTTTCACAATAGTTCTTTCAAAACTTTCAATGAGGTGCATATGACATATGAGTTACTTATTACAGGGGTTGTGTTCGACCAAGTTTAAACATTATACTTAAAAGCTGACAAATCGGTTATTCTCCTGAGTTTGAAGTTTTGTCTTTCATTTGTTTGGTAGTAACGTTTCAACATATCTTGCAACAGAACTTAGTCTCTGCTAAACTTCAGGGTAATTGTTGTTGTCTTTTTACAGAAAACTTTGGTTTAGACATCTCGTCTCGTTATGGTTTCTCCCACCTTTCAACATCCTCTTGGTTCTCCCTTTGACATTGACAACACACTTTGACTGTTTGTTTGAGTTGGTGAATTTAACTTCACATCTGCCATCGCCATTAAACCTTTGGAAACCTTACGCTTTCTATTTTTCGGAAATGAAATTTTAACTTAGATATAATAAGATGGACGTATTGAGTGTATCTCTTCGAATTGAACAAACCAAAGTTTACACACACAAACAATACAAGTTCTTGACAGAGTAGTTCTTTTACGAACAAACATGGAAAATGTTATAGATAGCATCTTTGCTGAACCAAAATATTTTCATAAAGCAAAGAAAGTTGGTATTACCGAGATGGTAAAGTTTCTGACGTTGACAAAAGATATAACAACAAACTGACGATTATTTTCTAAAGGAAGTTTTTAATACAGATATATATTCAAAACTGGCGTACTGTCAATATTGTGACGGAGAGAAGTAGGTCAAGAACAACTTACTGAGCGACCACTACTCTGCAAAATCTGCTCGATGGAAGCTGTCGTTTATACGTCAATTGAGGAAGCCCCAGCAGGGTTTCATCGAACGAATCTTCAAGAAGAGCATCTTCGTGAAAAGTGATATTGTTTTTGAAACTCTTTGCTCCATTATTTGCTGGACCGTCTCCTGTCATCAGTATATTGTATTTGAACTGTACCAACAGTTGATATACACCCATAAGTCTGTTGAGTCATGCAATGAATGCCAAGCCAAAAGTCTTGAACGGTCGTCCAATTTCGTAGATTGAGTTTTTTGACCTCGCTGTATGAGTCCATACTTTCAACATATGGCATAATAGAACTTTGCATTTCAGGGTCTAATGTTGTATGTGAATTGTATGTTAAATGCATAGCAGTCTATGTAGTCTGTAGGACCTCATATCCCTCAACTGTAGAATATCTTCTCTTGTAATATTTGCATTCTATGTTTATATGATATTTAATACCAGGTTGTAGAAACAAGAATAGTTCATTTATAGTTCCGTCTGAACAGTACAAACATGTATCTCATGTTATTCATTTGCAAGTTGTTAGAACGCAATATCTTCTTGCACCTGGGTCAGCATTTGGTTCCAATTCACCTGCAAAGTCTTTGACAGTATTTGGGGTGTATAGGGGGAACATAATGGAACTGATATAATTTGGCATGCTAAACGATTTGAAATATACTGGTGATCCGAACATATAGACTGGCAAGTCTGCTTTTATTCTCTTGCATTCAAATTTTTCGATGTGAAACTTTACTGGAGTCCAAGCAGTTCCAGCAGCATTGAAATAATAGTTTATTCTATGTTGAGTTTGAGGAGAAACAAAGTCTAAGTCAACCTGTGTCTTTGCAAAGTCACAGAACTTGGCTCCAGCCAGTCTCAGCTACAGTAATCTTGAATGGGTCTTGTGTTGGTGGCAATGACAGGTTATTTTGCTGTGAGTAGTTCGATAAAAGTTTTTACCTGCCCGTTTGCAAGTATCTTAAAACCTGGAAGATGAGGAAAATGACAAAGAATCTAAGTTTCAGTTTTTACTTTAGTGCAGCAGTTCCATCTGGAACCAGAAAGGTAACATACAACTGCATGGAACGTTTAGAGGTCAGTCTTCTTATTTTCTCAATTTTGGGCATTACTGGTCTGTTTGTTCTACTAGCTTGTGGTTGTACTGAGTTTCTTTCAAAGCGAACCATTTCATAGTTTGCCATGTTTACTGTTGAACTAGTCAGAGTTAGAATATATTCTTAGATATCCCATATGAAAACTTCTGGAGCATATTGTGATCCGACATAGAAAATTCATTGCAACCTTTCTTGTGAGACAACTTGCAGAAGGTTTTATTTCAATGTCTTGTCACGTATAAGAATGAGTTGTCAATAAAATTATTATGAATACCTGTCGGCAAGAATATTTCTACTGTTGTTGAGAACCTTCTCCAAAGCTCACCTTACGTTTCCATAGTAAAGCAGCAGTTGTATATTTCGTAAGTTCCAGGAAATATTTCTGGACCTTCTAAATGGCATTGTCGCATTTCGTTATACATTCGGAACAATTTCTCGTTCATGGCAATCCAAAACTGTTGGCGTTATATTCTGGCGGCGTATCATTTCATATGGGTAAAAAATATTAGAATTAGTTGAATTTATTTTATATAGAGAACCACGTGGACAAGCTTTACTTAATCTTCCTGACTGAGTTTTAACTCTTGCTTTTCTTCATTGCCCTCTGCTTGAAGTTGTTGCAGTCTTGCTCATGTTCACATCGATAGATGTTAGCAAATTTTGCGCATGCACCGATCTTTTGCCTTTTGGGGCTTTCTGGCGCCTCTCAGGTAACCCTATATCCTAGAAAGATTTTGTCATAGTTGTATTTGAGTCTTTCGCGTATTGTTGTCATTGACTCTTTCCTGATTTCCAGGTTCAACTCTTCAAACAGAGCTGTCATATGGAAAAGCTCGTTTCCAAAATATATGTTTTTGTAGCCATTCATGGTTTTCTTATGCCATGTTACAACAAATACGTTTGTGTGAAATGGGAAAGCTTTACCCATTCAGTCTTGCGTCATTATTTCTGTAGTTGGTTTTATTTGTCAAGGAAACATGTTTTTCAATACAACATTTCATTTTGGTAACTGTCCATTTTGAGTTTTTCTTAATATTTCATTCCTTCTCGGTCATTGTGTGCAAAGTAAGTTTTTATGCCATTGTTGTAAACTTTTCGTTTGCAAGGTCATGTAGCAATGGTTTTCCTTCCTATTCTCTCTCCCTAACTTTCTTTCTAAAGTCTTCCCAAATATACCATCTCTATGGTTTGTGTAGTTCTTTGCAGATAATGTTCTAGAAGCGTCAGGTGTTATATATTCCATCAGCGCATGTCATTTCATAACTTGTCAAATATCTGCATCTTCATCATATTTCATGGCATTTAAGCCAGCGCTTAATAAATACCAGCTATAATTCGGTTATCCATGATTATTAGCGTCCCAAACTTCTTGGAATTGAGGTTGTAAAGTTTATGACACCTATCCGGGTTAGCTTTATGACCCCATCTTATTGTAGTTCACCATGTCTGCAGAAACAAAAGGTAGGTTTGTTTCCATCTTTGGGTTAGAAGGTTCTGAAAAGACTTTAAAGACAATTTTCATTTCTTATTTTTCTTAAATATAATTTTATTTCACCGGAGTTCATCCGAGATTTGAATCGTTAAATGCTCGTAAGTAAAAAGGGTTGTGTAATTTGTTAGGACATTTTTCCTTTCAGTACTTCCATTCTATGCTGATATATTTTCATCTGTTTGGAGATCTTTTGTACTGGTCGCAAACATTTTTCGATATTCTTCTACTTGTCAGTGGAATGTTTTTTTTGACTCTTGGAAAGATTCCATATCTCGCATACTCTTGTTGACGGGTCAAGATTTTTCGCTGTTCCAAATTTCATTAGTTGTGAAGGTTAGTTTTCCAAAGAAGGATTAGATAATAATTCCTTCAGGCTCTTCTAGCTTGCTTTATGCTGAACCTATTTCTTCCATGTCTGTTGTAGTCTAATTCTTCCTGGGAGTTCTTTACCTCATCTGCTGGATTGTTCATATATTCCGAGACCGTTTTTCAACAATTTCCCGTATCTACGTCACCGCATCAATAAGCTTTTGTTTCTTTCGTTCCGTCTCTAATTTTTTAACGGCGTTGCCTGACGAAATTGAATTGTCATTTAGCGCTGACAATCAAATAATATTCGGAAGAAACATTCAATTCATGTCATTTGGGATGAATATGCTATTTAAATCATATCCCTTAGCGAGCTTGTATTTTCCAGGTTTGAGGATATATCCGTTTGGTGCTGAAGCCATAAAGCTTAAATTAGGAATCGGGGTGCAGTTATTCCATCCTTGAACTTTCCAATAGCTTGCTTTATATTGTCACGTAAAGTCATACTATCTGGGAACCACACTACTCTTTATAATTATATGTATATAGAACTATGGTTTCTTTCTGACTATTTTGATATACCTTTGCTCTGTTGTGTGTTTGAGTGAATAGCTTAGTATGATAGCAGGTGTTATTGAACTGTTGGTTGTGTGGCAGTGTTTTGAACTTGTTGTTGGGTTGTTGTTATGTTGGTTTGTGTTTGTGTTTGTGGTGCATCTGTGTCTGTGTCCATGTGACGATGTAATTGTTTTATGGTAGCTTCCGTGGTGCAGGTGCTTCATCTTGGGGGATTTGGTGATATAATAAGAATTCATATGGCAAACAATATGTTCCATCTGCAGTCTAATGTCCTACCTGACTTTTTCGTTTTTATACAAGCATTTACTAGGATCTGTTTTAGCGATTAGATAACTCTTTTTCTTTGAACTTTTAAACATTTGCTCTAACGGTCGGTCATAGGCACTTTGAACTGCCTGTCCTCGTTGCTGCATTCTGTTATTTTCGTCAATATTTTTGATGCTATTCTTTTAACTCTTTGTCGAAACGTTGACATATCGAAGTGTATAAATTTCGCAGATAGAGAAGCGTTCAGTTGTTTACCTTACTATGAAGAGCTTCGAAGCGCGTTCTTAAAGTCAGCATTTGGTTAAGGCTTCTTTGAACGTCTCTATCCGCTTCGATATTTTATGTCCTTATGACCCTATAAGTTGGCTGCTTTAGCGTTGCTGTGGGCATCTAAGCAGTCATATTAGCTTTTATTATATTCTGCGCTTTATATTGCCGTTTTGCATGGCGCGTCGTTTATTTACTTCTTGTTGCTAAGTTTTCATACTTGTACGGTTTGTTTTGCACTGTAAAAGTTTTTCTGCCTTTAAATTTGCTTCAACTTACTTTTTATGACTCACGGCTATCCATATATGTCTTCAGGGCTTTTTTGTTATTTCTTCATCTTTCAGTTACTTTATATTGATATATGGAGTTTTTTCAAATTTATAACAATCTTGTTCGCATTTTGCTACTTATGCTCTGCTTTTTCTGACACTTATTTTCGCATATTCTCTGTACTTAGTTCTTTCAGTGTCTTTCTTTCTTCTTTTCTCTAACGTTTAACTTCATATTATACCTATCTGTGATGATCACGTCAATAATTTCGATAGTTTGTTTTCGTTTTACTTATTTGTTCGTGTATGATCTATGAATTATGACTTAATTTGGACATCTGCAGAATAATTTGATTTTTGAAGATGACAAATTGCATATCAATTGACTTTGAGAGGTTTTAAGCTGTGTCATGCAGCTCACCATAGCTGCCATTTTCGCTAAAAGTGCCGCGTCTTAAACCATCCACATCCTGTGCACAATAACTCGGGTTTAATAGAACATAGGGATTGCTTGACATTTTGTCTGCAGACATAGTGGGGTTCATTCGTAATTTGTTGTTGCACTGTTGTTTCGTGGTTGTTTTTCTATTGGTGTTTTCAATGTGCCTGCTTCTCTATATCAAACTGGTAGTATTTCTACGTAGCTTCGTGGCATTTTTAAGTTAAGTTAAAGCCAAGGCTTTTGGATCAGATGTGTATTGTGACTATCTTCGATAAAGACCTTTGTTGATGATTCTTTCGTAAATGAGTGTAATGACCCAAAAATATTTTTAGGGTGAAGAGTGAGATTTCACTGCTTTTTTCACCTCATTTCTCACCTCTTGAATTTTCATGAATTTCTTCGTAAAAGCATTTGCTTATACTTCTTCATCTAATTTCTCAATAACTTTCTTGTCTAGCTGTGGTTGTCAAAGATTCTTCGTAAAACGACTTTGTTGAGATTTCTTCGTAAATGACCTAGTATATATTTTTGGTGGTAAATTTCATGAAAATTAGAGGAGGGGAAAAAATTAGGTGAAAAAACAGGTGAATCTTCACCTCTTCACCTAGAACATTATTTTGGTGTAAAAATTATGAAATTCAAGAGGGGTGGAAAAGAATGTAGGTTGAAAAAACAGCGTGAAATCTTCACCTCTTCACTAAACATTATTATTTGGTGGTAAAATTCATGAAAATTCAAGAGGGTTGAAAATTAGGTGAAAACAAGGCTAATCTCACTCTTCACCTAAACATTATTTTTGGTGTAAATTTCATTAGAAATACGAAGAGGTGAAAAAATTAGGTGAAAAAACGGTGAATCTCACTCTTCACCTAAGACATTTATTTTGGATGTAAAATTTCATTGAAATCAAGGTGACAGTAAAATAGAGATTGAAAAAACAACAGTGATAATCTCACTCTTCACATGAAACATTATTTTTGGTTGTAAAATTAATGAAATTCAAAGAGGGCTCGAAAATTAGGTGAAAACAGGTAGAAACTCAACCTTATAACTAAAATATAATTAAATTCTGTCTGATTTTACGAAGAAGGTCTTGAAAAAATTATGCGTTCATCGTTTGACAAAAACATTTACGAAGAAGTCTGACAAACATTTACGAAGAAGTCTTGAACAAAAACATTTACGAAGAATGATTGACAAAACATTTACGAAGAAGTCTTGACAAAACATGTTGTACGGAAGAAGTCTTGACAAAACATTTACGAGAAGTCTTGACAAAACATTTACGAAGATCTTGACAAAACATTTACGAAGAAGTCTTGACAAAAACATTTACGAAGTCTTGACAAAACATTTACGAAGAAGTCTATGACAAAACATTTACGATAGAACTTTGACAAAACATTTACGAGAAGTCTTGACAAAACATTTACGTTCATGTTTGACAAACAATTTACGAAGAAGTCTTGACAAACATTTACGAAGAAGTTCTTGACAAAACATTTACGAAGAAGTTTGAACCAAAAACATGCAAACAGTATATAATTTTGTGGAAAAAAGCGACACATTATAATAATCGATTTTCAGACCCCAGAAGACTAACAATTTTCCGAATAAAAACTTCATTTATACAACATAACATCTTGGGGCTAGAAGCACGAAGTGCCTGGAAGCCCCACTACCTTTTTCTTTTTTTTTTTTTTTTTTTTTTATGGAAATCCTCAAAATTCTTCGCAATTGTTCTAAACAATATAACCCGACGAGCAATTTAAAATTACGATTAATTGTTAACATATAACACGTATCTAAAAATCTATTTCTGGGAATTTCAAAACGAATTTAATAGTGTAATTGAATTTTGGTAATCCTTCTAACATTTATTGTGAGAAGTTTTTCTCACTCAATTTCCAAGTTTTTGAACTTTCTGAAGGGAATATAAGGGTGAGAGATTTATAGTCTATCGTATATCTGCCGACCCTCTAATTCCACTCACCTAGACAGGGGAAACATTGACTTGATTTTACAAAGTATAATACAGTTTAATTACAGCAGCAAAAAGTTATCACAACATGTTGCAGAAGGAAATTGTTGGCTATGATGATAATACTGTTTCGATAAGATCTCAGTCCTCATAGCAACAATTTCTTTATAAAAGTTTCAAAACATTGGGTGCAATCAGAACTGATACCCAAGTTTTTGAACTTTCTGAGGAAGTAGAAAGAGCAAAGCGGTATAACTTAATCAAATATACAATTACCATTATACCCCTTCCAGTTACCCTCTCTAACGACGCGAAAACTTTGTCTGAATGTTAAACTATTAGAAAGTTCTTCCCGCTGTCAGCGGAAGAGAAGTGTGTCCTCTGGTGCATAGAGTGTAATCTATGCACGCAAAATGGAGAAGTCGCCTCGCGAAATTGCCCAACTTGCGTCGCATTCAAAGAGTTGCGACCAATTTTGTGGCGATTTCTAGGTAGAGATGGGAAGTTATTATTTGAGGTTACTGAGCCTATATGGCAGTTGGCTCAAGGGGTCATCAGTTCTCTACTTTTGAGAGAAGGGGAAGAACTTTCTCGAAAGTTTTGAAATTTGAAGCACAAGTTTTCAATCAATTAAAAGAGCGATTACCTCAGACCTTGAGCTATAAAATTCTAAGATTTTCACTCTCATAGGCGAGAGCTCCCTTTCATTGCTTGAACATTTCCCCAGCTTCAATTGGGGCAAAGGCTGAAAGAGTGGTCCCGATCCAGTCAGGTACCAGAGATATTTAAACAGAGAAGCCTCGCTACGAGTTTCTATGAGACACCCTCTCATTCAGAAGATCTGAATAGAAATCCGCTACGAGGGCATATGAAACTTCAGCGATAAACGTCTGGTCAATGTATAACGTCTACGAGAGGTTTGCAGAATTTGAAGACTCTAGGATACTACTGTAACACAAGAATTTATGATGAATTTAAGATGCCACATTATAAATCGGATAGCGGTTTGTTTAAAAATTAGATGAGATTTGCAAATAGATTAGATTATATATTTATTCCATATGAAATAATATATAAACAAAAATATAATTTTGGCAGATAATTATGTAAATGAAATTTTAAATACTTTGAATTTGAGGTATATAAATTTAATTAAGATAAAATAATATATCTAAATGAGTATTTAATAATAATATTCGCCCTAAACCATATATAAGTAATAAAATTGAGACACGCTCCCTCCTCTGTGTTGTTGAGGTTTTGTCAACTTTCTTCGGTTATCTATTGTTTCGAAAGTCTTGTAGTTTTTCAGTAACAAAGTCTGTATTGTCGACGTCTATTTTTTTCAGAACAAGTCTTGTATTTTCACGACAAGTCTTGATATCAAGACATCTTGAAATCAGGACAAGACAAACTGCACGTTTTTTAGTACACGCTTTTTCTTGTAAAGTTCTGCCCCGAAATTTGAGAAACAATGTGGCTAAGATTCCAATAGACAAGTCTTGTATTTTTTCAAGAACAGTCTGTTGTTATTTCGACAAGTCTGTGTATATTTTTTCAAGACAGAACTCTGTATTTTATTTCAAGAAACAAATCTTGCACTTTTTCGAGGAACGACACAATCACCTCCAACTTTACATAATGTCACTTTTTTCACATTCAAATTGCATTCTTGGTCGGAACACTTTCTCTCATTTTCACAGCTTTTCTATGCGTATGATGTTTTGTCACTTTTTCCGTCGGAGTGTGTGTGCACGAAACATATCTCCAAAAAATCTTCAATAGAACCTACCCGTATCTCACCATTACAATTCTTTGACGGATATTGACATAGTGTATGAACAACACACAATTCAAATCTATCAGAATTACTGTGCGCTGAACTTATCGACCTTCAATTGTTCTGACCTCTCCGTATATAGACAACCACTATCCTAAACCCTGATTTTTAACTATTATGCTTTAACACAGACAGAA